CCCCCCCCTCGCCCCACAGCCTCCGACACCACTACACTCCCTCCCTCCCTCCTCCCCCTCTACGTACACACACACACATACAAACGCATGCAAATGCGTGTCCTCGCTGCTGTTGCTGTGCTTGTACTTGCGGTGGCCCATGGGTGGCTTGTCTCTGGCTCTGTGACTGTGGGGACGGCCAGCTCTGCCTCGTCGCCGCCTGCACCTGTCGTGCCTGCCCAGCTGACCTTCAGCGCCAACGTGACGACGACCTTCCCGTCGGGCGAGTCGTTCTGGCTGGAGATGGCCGGCATGTGGTCGGAGGAGCTGCAGGCGGCGCGGTGGGATACGGTCAAGTCGGGCTCGATTCCGGGCTACCCGGTCTCGGTGGCTGTGGGCGAGTCAGAGGTGCAGTACTGGCCCGAGCAGAGCAAGTGCCTTGTCGGCTGCCTCGCTGGCGTCAACTGCACCGGCGCACTGTGTGTGCCCGAAACGCTGGCCTACGGCACATGGATGATTCCGCTTGAGCCATGGCTTTTGCTCGGCGACGCCGCGTACTCGGGCACCTGCGCCCTGGTCAACGACAAGCCGACCGGCGACAAGTTTGTGGTCAAGGGCGCGTACGACTCGACCTTCACCTACTGTTTTGTCGGCTCAACCATGCACGCCATCAAGATCGCAGGCAACGCCGGCGGCTCGATAGTCATCAAGTTCTCCAACGTCCAGGCCAAGCCGACGCCGGCCTCGGCCTTTGCCATCCCCTCGTACTGCACCTGCCCCAGCACCGCCGCATAAGCAGCCATATGCGTAGTTCATTCATCGCTGCCGTCGCCATACGCTTGCCAGCAGAGCAGGCCTGCCATAACACTCACCCGGCAGCCACAGCGTCTATCCCCAGCCCTTTTCGTAGCGCGGCTTCCGCGAAAGACTCTCCATGTAGCGGGCGCGCTGGCGAGCGATGCCGCGCAGCCGGGCCTCCTCGCGGGCGTCGGCATGGGTGTCTGCGCCAAAGACCGACGAGATGTACTGCTTGCGCGAAGCCTGCAACGACTGGATTTTCGACTGGCGCAACTTGGCGCGCCGGGCCTTGTCCTCCTTGTTGATGTTGGTTAGCGGCGCGTGGTCGAGCCGCTCGCCCTCGGGCACAAAAAACGAGGTCGTCGGATCGGCCTGCGTCAGCTCAAACGTCGGCTTGGCCTGCCGCCGCTTCTCGTACCGCCGGTTAAGGTGCGGCGCGAGCGGCGGCGGCCGCTTGTGCTCCGCACGCTCCGGCTTGATGCCCAGCACGTCCCAGTCGGCATCGCGCAGCCGCGGCACCGGCTTGCTTGCCGACGACGAGCTTACAGACGCCGGCAGTGTGTGCACCGGCTGAGCCGCTGGCGCAGCCGACGCATACCCGCCGCCGTACCCAGGACCTGGTCCTCCGCTGTAGCCGCCGCTCTGTCTGCCGCCACCGCCACCACCGCCGCCGCCATAGCCACCACCCTGCCCGCCGCCGCCACCGCCACCGCTACCGCGTGCTGGCGACGGCGCCGCCGGTGACGCCCGGGCTCGTTCGTACTGCTCGCTTGCCATCCGCGGTGGGTAGTGGGTCCGCTGGTCAGAGTGCGACGACGGCGGCTGGTTGAGCCGCGGCGGGTAGCTGGGCGAGCCGTGCGAGCGCGGTGCTCCGCCGCCGTATCCGCCGCCAGACGAATTGATCGAGTCCAGCGCGTGCGCCCGGCCGGCGCGATTCGGTCCGCCGTGTCCGCCACCGCCGTGCCCGCCACCGCCGTGTCCGCCACCGTATCCACCTCCGCCACTGGCGTATCCGCCACCGTACCCGCCGCCGCCACCGCCTTGCGCGCCGCCGTAGCCTCCGCCGCCGTAGCCTCCGACACCATGTCCAGCACCACCGTACCCGCCGCCGCCACCGCCATGCTGAGCACCTCCGTAACCTCCACCACCAGCACCTCGGCCACCGCCTCGTCCACCACTCGCGTAGCCACCACCATATCCGCCGCCGCCGCTGCTCCCGTAACCAGGGCCGTACCCGTCGCCACCGCCACCGTACGACATGCACGTGTGATGAGGAGGGGGGAAGGGGGTGGGAAGAGAGAGATGGGTAGAGGTGACCGTCACTTGCCCTTGCCCTTGGCCCACGGCCCCGCCAAGCTCGCAACCCGGAGCGAGGCCAATGGCCAATGAACACAAACGGAAGCAGCGCAACGGTTGATTCGGCCGCCGACCGGAGGGGAATGGGGGGGGGGGGAGAAATAGAAGGCGCTCTCACTCGATCGCCATCGATTCATCGGACGGGGACCTGTTCCCATCGGGCACCTATCGGCAGAATCAAGTACAACATCCCCTCGCTGCGTCCGTACTCTTTAAATTGTCCCACATCGCTTGGGCGAGGTCTGCTTGCCTGCCCCGCCGTGGCCAAATAAGACAGGTCGTGGTTACTATGTCACTCCAATGTGATCTTTGATTTTGGCAGTCGTGCTCGAGTCGCGGCTTCCCAGACGCTTCGCCGCAAGGCATGTGCAAAGGTAGAGCAATCCAGCTCGCAAGGGCAGCGGTATACTATTGGGCAACTCTATTTGTGATGGGCAGTGACCTGGCGTCGGGACTGAGCAGGCTCCAGGGCTTATCGCTGGTCCAGCCGGAAAAAAACCTGTCGGCGGAGAGTTGCACACGCATATCTCATCGTGCCTGTTCGCCGTCCATAATAGCATTGTAGCAACTGCTACTTTGCCAACTGTGGCAGCGACCCTGCCATCGGCCTCCGCTGTCATCTCTCTCAACCCGCGCTGTCGTGATCTCCGAGGATTTCGGGTCATCCGAGCCCTCTGCTTTCTGGGCCGCCGAGAGCAGCTTGGGTCTCTCGGCCAAAGTTGCAGTAGCTCGATCCGCCCCCCTCCCGTCCAACATGCCATCCAAGCACATTGCAATTGCGCACATGCGGGAGGCCCGCAGTCGATCGAATGGCTCGTTGGGCCAAGTCACATGCTAGTGATGTGCAAATCACGTGGGTGCCAACCTTGAACTCGCACACGCGTCTTCACCGCACCTGCCCTCCCCCTGACCATGACCGACGCCATCCCGCACACGCTGCCCAAGCCCGACGTGGTTCCCGAGCTCGATGTAGCGGCTCTGGAAGATGCTCCCACAGCCGAGGCGCTCGCTGCACTCGCCCATGCCTGCCACACCGTTGGCTTTCTCCGTGTCGTCAACCACGGCGTGCCCGTTGAGGTTGTCGATGACGTCCTGGCAGCGGCAAGTGAGGTTTTTTCACTCGACCAGGCCGAGAAGGAGGCGGTGCACATCAACGGGTCGCTGTCATTTCGTGGTTACGCGCGCGTGGGTGAGGAGATCACTCTCGGCGTGCCCGACTTTAAGGAAACCTTTGATGTTGGTCTCGAGCACCCGCCCGTGGGCCAGGATGCGGTGGCTGCTGCCGCCGCTACAGGCGCCTGGGCCGGCCTTCTTGCCGGCGCCAACCAGTGGCCGGCCGCCGCGCCGATGCTGGCGCCACGCATCTACGCATACATGGACGCCATGCGCGAGCTCGGCCTGCGAATCATGACCATTCTTGCGGCTGCGCTCGATCTCCCGCTCGACACCTTTACCTCGGTCTACACTCGGCGGCCGGCTGGGCGGCCCGATGCGGCCGGCTTTGCCCTCCTCCGCCTGCTGCGGTATCCGCCGCAGGCCGGAGCGCCGCGCATCGGCGTAGGCGAGCACTCAGACTTTGGCATGCTCACGCTTCTTGCCACGGACGATATCGGCGGCTTGCAGGTCGAGATCGAGCCCGGCGTGTGGCGCGACGTGCCGCCGCGGTCAGGCACTTTTGTGCTCAACTTTGGCGATCTGCTCGAGGTGTGGACCAACGGATACATCCGCGCCACTAATCACCGAGTCATCTCACCGTCGTCGACCATGCCGCGCTTCTCGGTTCCGTTCTTTGTCGAGCCGGACCTGGACGCCACGTTTACCCCGCTCGATTCGTCGCGCTTTGCCTACGCTCCAGGCCGCCGCCCTCTCGACGCCGAGGCCGCCGACGCTGCCATCTTCCAGAAGTACGAGGGTCGCTTTGAAGACGCATTGCACTACGGCGATCACATCTTTGCCGCCTGCGTCCGCTCCTTCCCCACCAATCCCGTTTCCATCGCGTGGCTTGCCGCCCAACGCGAGCCGTAGCTGCTTCCGTTTTACTGGGACCACTCACTTCTCGGCGCTGCTCGACGGCAGAGGGCACATGCACCACGGCGGCACCACAATGTACTTCTCCGGCGGCGCAACAGGATCAATGGTGATAAAGTTTACACGTACGATGCCGTCTCGCCGCCCAACGTCTGCGTCAGCTCGACTGACACAAGCTGGGCGCTGCTGTCAAAGCAGTAGGCAGCTATGGTCGTGCCGCTCGGCTCGACAGCCAGCCACTTGGAGCCCTCACCGTCAGCGCACGTGCCGTTGGCCACAGCGTTGACCACAAAGATCCACAGCTCAAGCCGGAGATCGCTGGCCTCGACAGTGCACATGCCGCCGCCGCACGTCGCGCCGTGGGTGCAGATGACATGGCAGTTCGCATTGACGTCCGAGTAGGATACCGTCGTCTGGAGCGACTCGACCGCCAGCACGGTTGTATCCGGCGCCACAATCGTCGGCATCGTCGAGTTGACAACATGCATGTTGAGCCATAGCACCGACCGCAGCACGGCGCCCTTGACCCCAACCTCAAACTGGTAGGGAGGGACCAACGGTCACCTCGATGGTCGCCGTGTAGGAAATCGACGGCGGCATCGATGGCTTGGCGACCATCGAGCTAGAGGGCAATGCCACAACAGCAACAACAACCAATGCCATAGCCACAGTCATAGCCATGACCGTAGTCGTGCCCCTCGGCATCATCGCAGCACAACCATGTCCGCCTGATGGACCCCCCTACCACGCCACCGCCACGCCACCGCCATGTCGGAGCCAGTCAGCCATCCACACCATACGACCCATGACCAGGAGCTATGGGTAATTTGCACTCGCAGATCCCCCCCCCTCTCCTCCCCTGCCCCCCTCCTTCCTCCCATCGCTGTCGCACAAGCCAATCACACGAAGCGTGCAGAGCCATGTGGCATGGCTTTGGCGGTGGTGGTGGTATGTTTCATCGTCGTTTTGGCGCGAAACGGCGTGTCACGACTGACACCCACCGGTCACGAGGGCGCCGGCACAGGCGCGGTGAGCGCAACAGGCACACACCTCGCTCTGTTTCGCAAGCAAGCACAAAGGGATGGTGTCGACACGCTCACGCTCACAGCCGCGGTCGGAGAACAAGGCTGACGAGTCGCCGCGCTCGCGGGGCTCTTCGCCGCGCTCACGGGGCTCTTCGCCGCGCACCTCGTCGCGCGCCAAAACGGCGGCCAAGTCGTCGGCCAAGGGCAAGAAGACGTCGGCGACCAAGAGCAAGAAGGCATCGGCCAAGACCAAGTCGTCGGCCAAGACCAAGTCGTCGGCCAAGACCAAGTCGTCGGCCAAGACCAAGTCGTCGGCCAAGACCAAGTCGTCGGCCAAGACCAAGACGCCGGTCAAGGCGCTGGCGCAATCGGCGGCGGCGCAATCGGCGGCGCCGGGCGATGCACCGGCTGTCCGTGCCGCGCCAAACTCGTCGCCGCTTTACCAGGGCGTCGTTTGAGTTTTGGCTCTTCTTTGTCATGATCCTGGAGAACTGGATCCTCGAGAACTGGATCCTCGACTTTGGCCGGCCGGTCGGCAACTTTTACTTCCGTTTTCTCGGCTCGAACAGCCCGGGCGTGGGCGACTACTTCCACATGGCGTACAACGTGCTCACGCCGTTTCTGCTCCTGCTGCTGATGGACAAGGCGCGCAACTCGCGCGTCCCATCGTGGGTCAAGTACCTCATTGTCATCATCTTTACTCTCGGCGCCTCCATGCACCTTGTCGGCGACTCGATCCAGTCCAAGCTTGTGCAGAACTGCTCGTACGATCTCTCGGTGAGCGTGCGCGAGAACAAGGTCATGCGCGAACTCGGAAACGACGCCATCGTCGACATCTTTGAGCTCCTCTACTCGTACGACGAGCACATCGGCCACGACCTGTGGTACCTCGCCTACTTTGGCGCCTTCCTCGTCACTTTTTTGCCGCCTCGGCCCCGCGCGACTCGGCCTCGGCCTCGGCCTCGCTCCCGCTCTCGGCCTGGGCCCTTCTTCCCTTTGGCTCGCTCTTCTACTGGTACCTCATCGTCGAGGGCCAGGTCTGGCCGCTCTTCATCGTCACCTACTCCATCATGCTCGTCATCATGTGGCGCCTCGCCGCCCGCGGCGACGGCCTCGATGTCAACGGCCGTTTCCTCTTCTACAACTTTACCGTCACCGCCATCCTCTTTGTCGCTTGGCTAGTCTACACCGACACCTCGTTCTCGTCTGTCTGGAACATCGCTCTTGACGAGGTCCCCGAGTACTGGGAGACCTTCCCCAACCAGTACGCCCTCCTTGTTGGCGCGTAAATACGTCTTGTAACTGCTCCGATCGCACAACTGCCGACTCTATGGCCGTCATCGCCATCATCGTCATTGTCGTCACTATCAAGCCAAGTTTACTGCGGCTGCGGAGCGTTGACCGCCTCAGCCTTGAACTCGGGAGCGGACCAGCACGCCTCAAAGGCGTTGACCTGGGCCCGGCACTCGTTGTACGCCAGCGAGTTGGCATCAAGGCACTTGGTCAGCGCCGCGTATGTCTCGTTGCACTGCGCCTCCACCGCGCCGAGTCTATCCCCCTCACCGATCCGCCCGGACCCGCCAGCAGCCAGGAGCCAGGAGCCAGCAGCCAGCAGCCAGGAGCCAGCAACCAGCAGCAACCACCCAGTCCAGCCACCGCCACCACCGCCACCACACACTCACAGTGAGTCCCTATTCCTCTGGTACCCCCCCCCCCCCCCCCCCCCCCTCCGGCACCCCGTGCCCGCCACCCCCACCGCCAACCAGCCCAAAAATGGCCCTGGGTGGCCGGGTGGCATCCCGCCAGCTGCAGCCACCGCCACCACCGCCACCGGGCAAGCCCCGCACTGGCGCCCTCCCCCCTCCCCCCTTCCCCCTTCCCCCCTCCTCGCCCCCTCCTCGCTTCCTGCCCCCTCATTCGCCGTGGCATACACTTGTGCGGCGCACTCGGTCACGGCCCGGCCCTCCCGCAGGCACGCCTCCGGGTTGGCCGACGACGCCTTGCACAGAAGGAAGGCATCGTTGGGCGCAGCGCAGTGCGCGTCGAGGCAGAAGGCAGCAGCCATCAGGCCCGCATGCGGCACGTTAATCTCAGACGAAGCCATTCTTGTCCTAGCCCGACAACGAGAGTGGTGTGTCGTCGCAGTCGTAGCTCTGTTGCCGCGTGACTCCAGCTCCCGCTGGCGAGCGGCCGTCGGTCGGCCCGACGCCCGCGGACCATCACATCGCCCGCCCACCCGCCCGTCACTGCCTGTCTTAGTCATTGCCATTTATCTCTCGTGCCGCCGCATCCCGCCACATCCCGCCACATCCGTCTACGACAGTGTCTGGACGAGGGCAAACTGGCCAAAGTAGGTGTTGACGAGGATGTAGACTGCGTTGGGGTTGGCCACTGACGCCACCACGCCATCAAACGAGTGCGGAAAGGCAGTAACAGAGCCGTGGACGCCGGCATCGAACGGCCAGATGGTGGCGAGCGCCGTGGTGCCAGTTGCCAGGTCACCGGCCGCAAAGGCGACGTTGAACGAGTCAATCTGCCACACCGCATTGGCCGAGACGACCGGGTAAGCCGTTGACGCACTGTCGATTGACGAGCCATGGACAATGTACGGGAACTGCCACTTCCACGCCACCTTGCCGAGGCCCACACCGTTGTGCCCGAGCTCGCGCCGCCCGACAACGCCGTTGGAAAACGTCCCATACGTGATCAGAAGCTGTTCGTCGGTCGTCGGCACGTGCGCAAGCACGATCTCACCGGTGCGAGCCGAGCCGACCGTGTACCGCAGCGCGCCCGAAAAGCAGGTTGTCCCGAGGCAGGCCATGTCGTCAAACGCGATGAACGCCGGCGAGAGGAGGCCGCCAGGTGACTGCGCCGGAATCATCGACGAGCCGTGTCGGAAGGTGTACACCTGCGCCCCAGATGCCGAGTCGTAGATCCGAATGGTGCCAAAGCCGGCGCACGAGGTTGAGGTGTAGAGAAAGCCACGCGAGTCGACGGCGATGTTTGTCGAGCCCCTCGTGGGACAATCGACGTTGGTGTGCATAAAGTTGGTGACAAACGAGTTCACAACCGCAGAGGACTTGATGTCAAACACCGTCGCGTTGTTCCCAATGTACACCACGTACGTAGACGTGGCCTCGTTGAAGCCGGCGGTGATGACGTCAGTCGACCCGATAACCACACCGTTGGGGTTGGCGTCAAAGGCGTTGACAATCTTGAGCGTCGTCAGATCGACCACAGCCGCTTCGATCCCAGACTCGGAGCCGATCTTTCGCAGGACAACCGCCTTGGAGTATGCGTACTGCGACGAATACGAGACCGCGACGACCGAGTTGAGCTCGATGCGCCCGGCCGCCACAACGGCGTCACCGTCGACGGCCCACGCCGAGTACACCTGGGTTCCGTTCTGCCACAGCTTGGTAGTGACAAACACGTCGCCGCCGTGGGCGCCCGCCACCACAAAGTCTGGCACCGGGACCTGGCCGTAGATGTTGGGCGAGACCGACCAAGGAAGGAACCGCGGATGAGGGCCGAGAAAGTGGGTGACCGGCAGCTCGTACGCGATGACCGAAAAGGCGCAGAACGCCGCTGAGGTTTGGCAGGTGACGTTGATGGTGGCTAGGCCGGCGTCGACAAAGACAGTCGAAAAGTTGTTGGGCGTGAGGCCTGATGACGGAAACGGCAGACTGGCGCGCTGCGAGCCGAGCTCGATGCTGGCGGCCATAGCCGTCGCCTCCTCGGTGCCTGTCACCACAAACTGGAGCGTGGAAAACCTCGTGGAGACCTCAAAAGTAAACTGCGCAACGAGGCCCTTGAAGCGCGCCGGCGCCGTGACGTTGAGCTCGAGTCGCGTTGCGTTGGCAAGTGACACCGGCGCCGTAGCTTCCACGCGCGGGACTGTGGTAGCAGCCGCAAGAGCCGCCTGCGACTTGAGTGATGTCTCAGGCGTGACGCGAAGGATCTGGACGGTGTCCCAGTACTGCTGGTACGGCGTGTTGACAACAAGGTAGCTGCCGTCGCTCAGCGAGTGCGCCGTCATTTCGCCGGTGGGCACCCGGACACCGGTCACATTGAGCTCGGTCATGCTCGACACTGAGCCGCTGTTGTCGATCGACGCCGAGGTGAGGACGCCCGGACACTTGCCGATGTTGCGGAACGGGCAGCCAGCCGAGCCTTGCTGAGTCAGGTCGAGTTCGATGTACTGTGAGAGCGTCGGCTGCGCCAGGGCGGTGCTGAACGATGTCGGGAACAGCGGCAGCGTCATCGAGCTGGAAAGCGCGTAGTCGTTGGTGGCGTCAAGGATGAGGAGGCAGATACCAACAGCGCCGCTGTGGCTATCATAGTACGCAAGGCGCAGGCCGTAGTATGTGTCCGAGACCGGGCCGGCGCCTGAGACATCGACAGACGTGGCATGCGCGGCGCCAGGGCAGCTCTCGAGCGCGATTGGGTGTGCGACCGGGTAGCACTCGGGCTTGGGCGGCCACTGGGTGCATGCCGCGACTCGGACGGTGACGAGACTAGACGTTGTGAAGTTGCCTAGACGGGCGTCGGCAAGCTTGGCATTGTTGCTCCACGGCAAGCTAAAGACAAGGTCACCCGAGAGAGCTGGCGCAGCGGTCTCGCAAACATCTGTGTTGGGCATCATGTACGCCATAAAGTACGACTCGTCGACCGGCGGCTCATCGGGCGCATACACGACTCGGTACTCAAAGTACGGACTTGACGACTCAAACGAGGTCGACTGGATGCCATCAAAGTAGACCTTGCGGGCGAGCGGATCTGCAATCGGCAGCCAAATACCGCCCGAGGCCTCATGGGCGTCGACAACCACGATCGAGCCATGAGCGAGGGCATCGGCGTCAATGACGACAATGACGCTCTCAAAGCCGAGCACCCATAGAGCGCCGTCGAGGCCGTCGTTGCCGCGGCGATCATGCGCCGGGCGGCGCGGGAGGAACGAGGCCGAGGAGATGACAGTGACATGCGAGTATGACGCGCCAGACGAGCCGTCGGCCATGCCGGAAGCCTCGACGATGTCCGCGCAGGTGACATTGGCAGCCGAGGCAAAGCGTCCCGAGGAGGTAGAAGCCACAAAGACCGAGATGCCTGCCGCCGACGCGACATGGACGGTGGACTCGTCCACCACTGCCGAGGCGAGGATTTTCGAGCCAACGAGCGGGAGCGTATCCGACGTGGTGATGGCTGGCGAGACGGCCGCAGCGGCGGCTGCCACCACCATAAGCAGGACGAGACGGGCGAGCAGAGTAGCAGAGACTAGCGGCACGATGCGCAACATGCTTCTATGTCGGGAGAGAGTGAGGTGTGCTGCCAGCTGCTGGCGTGTGCCGCACGTGACCGACTTTGATTGCATTGCGGTCGCACATGCCTGTCAAGCGTGCGTTGCGGGGGTTTGCCGGCGAGCTTGCGTGCCCCCGCTCGCCACCATCGCCGTCATCATGATCCTGATCATCGCCTCTCATCGTCTGGTGTGTGCTTGACTGTGTACGGGTGTGAGTTTGTGAGGGAACATGCCGTGGCCGAGGATCGCCGAGACAACACGGGGCCTCTATCCTACCCAGTCTACAGGAAGCAGGCGGCGAGGTTGATCGACGAGGCAGGCGGCGCTGTCCTGGGAGTTGACCAGGATGACTTGCGCTGGGGAATGCACGATGCGGTCGAAGGTGTCGATATCGATGGTGGAAGCACTGGGGTCAGGTGCATCACTGGCAACATCGAGCGGCAGGTATGTGTAGCAGGCGTCCAAGCCATAGAGGTTCGAGTTGGACCCACCGTGAAGATCCAAGCCGAAGCTGGGCATGGCGTTGGTGTTGTCCTGTACCTCGAGTGCGAAAGAATCAGCACCATCATCGCTCTGGTCCATGTGAGCCACCGAGCCATCGGCGTCGTTTGTGAACAAGTTACAGCCATCGCCCTCGCTCTCGCCCGAGTAGGTGTCGTCCGTCTCGCCCAAGGGCCAGGAGAAGTCCGAGCCACTGGTGTTGCCAGCTGCGTCGTCATCGTGGCTGCTGGCGCTGCCGTCGCTGCCGTCGCTGCCGTGGCTGCCGTCGCTGCCGTCGCTGCTCGCGCTGCCGTCGCTGCCGTCGCTGCCGTCGCTGCCGTCGCTGCCGTCGCTGCTCGCGCTGCCGTCGCTGCTCGCGCTGCCGTCGCTGCTCGCGCTGCCGTCGCTGCCGCCGCTACCGTCCAGGTGGGAAGCAAACGGGGCAAAGAAGGCCTTGATCTTGTTGGTGTCAGCGTTGAGAGTGTGGATCGTGGCAAAGTCGAAAGCCTCGATCTGCTCGGGCGTGCAGCGTCGCTTGCGCGCGAGGCGGTTCGACCGCTGCGTGGTCCAGCGATGGACTCGCTCACAAAAGATCGACACAAAGGTAGGGCCATGAACAACGCCGGCATCAGCAAACCGAGTACACTCAGCCACCTGCTTCGAGTTGAGCTTGCCCGGGCGTGGACGGCAGGCGACGTTGAGGACCGCCAGGACGAGGGCGTCGTCGACAAGAGCCGCAGCAGAGTTGGCCATGTGTCGCGAAATGATCTTGTGCTCTGCGTTGTAGTCCAGCATGTCCCGCAAGACAGAGGCAACGCCGTGTGGTGCAATGTTGTCCTCGTTGTTAGAGTAGTCGCGGACAAGTCTCAGCAACCTGGCCCTGGCATCGGTCCACACGGCACTGTCGCTGGCGATGGGAAGGATGCACTTGGAGAATGCACGCAGCGGCTGCTTGCTCCCCTTCTTCTGCCCAGTGTCTGCCTCGAGAGGGTTAACGTTGGGCTGTGCGGCCATTTCGAGTGAGCTATGCGCAGGTGGAGCGCGAAGCGGGGACCATCGCTGCGGAAGAACGTGATTCTCCCGTCTGTGTGCCCCCTCCGGGTCGCACACGAACGTCACAGTCTGGTCAGGTGGCGTCACACTCAGGGCTATGGCCGCTAGGGCGCCTGTCATCCTTCGCCGACGACCGTCTCCTCCACCCTCAACACCTTTACCCTTCACCCTCTTCAACCGTCCTTGCTCTCCTTCGCACAGAGTCCATCCACCTGTTTGCGGTCCGCGTGCAGCGCGTCGCGCACCGCGCGCACTGTAGATTCGTCGGCCCCTCACTCGTCGCAGGTTTTCGCCAGTTTCGGCCCGCGACAAAATTTGAGTTTTTGGCTCGACACCCGTCTGCGCGCCATCATGGCCGAGTTCGCCTCACCACCGTCGGTCCTCTCGCCGGCGCTACGGCGATTCCGCTCGGGTTCCACTGTCTCCAACCTGCCCCAGATAGAGAGCCCAACTATGCCCAGGACACCGCCTCGACGGAGACTGCCACACGCTGCGGAGCCGCTCCCTTCGCCAGCTTCGCGTGCTGCGTCCCGCCGCTCACCGTGCGCCGCCTGCGCGGGCCTGTATGCGGATGCAGCGGGCGACGAGAACAGCGCACACACCTCGCTTGCCAAATGCTCGCATCGTGTGTGCATACAGTGTCTGGGGACGGCGGTGCTTTCGGCGCTGGCGCTCGGCAAGGCGCCGGGATGCCCGTCCCGGGGCTGCAGCGCCGAGCTGCTCCCGGCCGACGTCCTACCGCACATGGCCGCCTTGGAGGCGACCGACGCGTATGCCGACGCTACTGAGCTCGACTCCTCGCTTCCTGGTGCGCTAGCAGACTACGAGCGGAAGCTTTTGCTCGCTACGTCATCGCTGGTGGTCTGCCCCAACGAGGCCTGTGGCTACGTGTTTGAGCAGCATATGACGACGCCGTCAAAGGCGAGCGTGGTTCCGCCGACGCCGGCGCGGGCCCGCGACGACAACGGTGTGCCGCTCACGCCGCGCGCACACGCCCACCACCGGGACTACCGCTTCCGCTGTCGCCGGTGCGCTACCATCTTCTGCGCCGGCTGCAACGCCATACCGTACCACACAGGCATGGATTGCGCTTCGGCGGCAGCAACGGCAGCGTGCGGCGCCTGTCGGTACTGTGCCAAGCCTTTGAGCCCCGAGACTACTGCCGAGAACCCGACTGATGCACCCGCGCTTGACAAAGTATGCGTCGATGAGGCGTGCCTTGCCAAGCGGGCGATTGCGTGCCGGGTGACCCACGTGTGCGGCCACGCGTGTGGCGGTGTCAAACGCGAGAAGCGTTGCCTGCCATGCCTGGAGCCCGAATGTGCTCCTGCCGATGCCCAGATCACTGCTGACGACTACTGTTCGATATGCTGGGTCGACGACATCCGGTCTGCGCCATCGATCGAGCTCGCGTGCGGGCACGTCTTCCACTACTCGTGCGTGACGGCGCGACTCGACGCCCGCTGGCCCGACGCCCACATCTCATTTGCTTTTCTCGACTGCCCGCTTTGTAACGCGCCGATCGCGCACAAGGTACTCGCCAAGCGGCTCCGCCCGCTGCAGCGGCTGCAGGGCGAGGTACTCGCCCTCGCTCGGCACGCACTCCACACCGAGATGCTAGCCGGTAACTCAGAGGTGGCGTTCATATCGGACGCCGCCATTGCGGCGTACGCCTCGTCGCAGCGGTACTATCTCTGCTCCAAGTGTGATCACCCGTACCACGGCGGCGCGGCAGCGTGCGAAGCCGCCGGCGACGCCCACCCCCCAATCCTGACGCCTTCGTTTGCTCGCACTGTGCGCACACCGACGGGCTCATCACTCGCTGCGCCACACACGGAACGCGATATATTCAGCACAAGTGCCGGTTCTGCTGCAACCTCGCAACATGGCTCTGCTGGGGCACCACCCACTTTTGCGATGCCTGCCACGACATTGCGCCGATTATTGCTCGCAAGCCGTTCCACGAGCTCTCGCCATGCACATGCTCGCGTGTCCACCCACCCAACGGCATTGAGTTCTCGTACGGCTGCTCCATGTGCTGCGCCCTTGAGGAGGCTCCGCCGGTCCGCAAGTCAGATCGCGCCGAGGCCAAGGCTGCGCGGAAGGCGGCCAAGGCTCAGGCCAAGGCTGCGCGCAAGGCGGCAAAAGCCCAGGCCAAAGCTGCGCGCAAGGCGGCCAAGGCTCGCTCCAAGGCCGAAAAGGCAGCTGCCAAGGTCGCCTCTCGCGCACTTGCCGCGGCCCATGCCGTCCATCGCGCCCGCGCTCGCGGCCGCCCCGACGCTCGCGGCAAACTCGTCGATCAGCCCCAGCCGCCACAGCGCGCCCGTGCGCTCCACGAGCTCAACCGCTGACCACATGCTGCTCGAATCTGACCACAGTCGGCGACCTCTCACAATGAAATCCAAACTGTACTCACCACCGGGTGGCCGAGCTGCCGCCATCGAGTCGACAGCCCCTCCCTCCCCCCCCCCCCCCCCCTCACGCACACCTCACCCCACGCGCATCCCTCACCCCCATGGCAACAACGGCCGCCACCCCACAGTCCCAGATGGAGGCATTCCATGCCGAGCTCGATGCGCAGAAGCTGCTCCGTCTCCGGTTCCTGCTCCACAAGACGCAGCTGTACTCGACCTTCCTGGCCTCCAAGCTGGTAGCGCCGGTGGTGACAGCGATGGGCGGCGCGGCGGCAGACGAGGCCAGGCCCCGGCCGGCGACAGAGACCAACCCCACGGCAGGTCCAGCCACATCCAAGAAGCGGACCCGTGCCCAGCGTGTGCTGCAGACGTCGCTAGCCCACCTACAGCCAAGCGCGCCAAGGGGCTGGGCGGCGTGTCCCGGGTAGATTCTACAGGCAAGTTGGGCAAGACGGGCAAGTCGGGCGAGTCGTGCCAATCGGGCGAGTCGAGCGAGTTGGGCGAGTCGAGCAGCTCAAAGTCGGTGGCTGCTGTCGGCGCTGCGCCGCGGCTGGCGCCTCCGCCGACCTTTCGTGGATCGCTGCGTGGATACCAGGAGCAGGGCCTGCACTGGCTGGTCTCGCTCTACGAGAACGGGCTCAACGGAATCCTCGCCGACGAGATGGGCCTGGGCAAGACGGTGCAGACCATTGCGCTGCTGGCGCATCTTGCGCACCACGGCGTGCCTGGACCGTTTCTGGTCGTCGTTCCGCTCTCGACCCTCTCCAACTGGATGCGCGAGCTCGCCCAGTTTGCTCCGGGTCTCTCTGTCCTGCGTCACCACGGTGAGAAGGAGGAGCGGGCGGCGGCGTATGCCAAGGCGCGGCGAAGCGGTGTTGATGTAGTGGTCACGACCTACGAGATTGCCATGCGCGACGCCAAGATCCTTACTCGGGCGCCGTGGAAGTACCTGGTGGTCGACGAGGGCCATCGGCTCAAGAACATGAACTGCCTCCTGCTGCGCAAGCTCAAGGCTTTCCCGGCCGCCAATCGCCTGCTGCTCACCGGGACGCCGCTGCAGAACTCGCTCGCCGAGCTCTGGTCACTGCTCAACTTTCTGCTCCCGGCACTCTTTGACGACGTCGACGCCTTTGAGGAGTGGTTCAACCTCGATCCCGAGGCTGGCCTCAACGATGCCACCCGCGACGTGCTCGCCAAGCTCCACGCCATCCTCGCTCCGTTCCTTCTCCGCCGCCTCAAGGCCGAGGTCGCCCTGGAACTGCCGGCCAAGTCTGAGGTCCTGGTGTACGCGCCGCTCTCGGCCGGCCAGGCTGAGCTGTATGCGTCCAACGGTGACGCGCCGCGGCTCCGGGCGTTGCTGCAGGCTTCGGCCGCGAGCTCGCGGGCTGGCGAGCGCAAGAAGTTTACATCGCTCAACAATGCGTTCATGCAGCTGCGCAAGGTGACGAACCACCCCTACCTCCTCGACTACCCGCTCACTCCCGACGGCCAGCTGCACATCACCGAGGAGCTGGTGGCAGCATCGGGCAAGATGGTGGTCTTTGATGCACTCGTCACCGCGTTGGCCGCCGCCGGCCATCGCATTCTCGTTTTTCGCAGATGACCAAGATGCTTGACATTCTGCACGACTACTGCTGGCTCCGCGGCCACGAGTTCCGCCGTATCGACGGCTCGGTCAAGCACGACGAGCGCGATGCGGCCATAGCCGACTTTAATGCGCCCAACTCGCGAGTCCACCTGTTTCTCATCTCGACCCGCGCCGGCGGCCTCGGCATCAACCTCACCTCGGCCGACACGGTCATCATCTTTGACTCGGACCTCAACCCGCAGATGGACCTCCAGGCTCAGGACCGTTGCCATCGCATTGGCCAAGACAAGCCGGTGATCGTCTACCGCCTCTGCGCCGCAGACACTGTCGAGGCCACCATCCTCGAGCGCGCCGCTCGCAAGCGCCGCCTCGAGCGCCTTGTCATTGCCCAGGAGCGGTTCAAGGGCATCCGCGCCCGCGCTGCCGGCCCTCGCACCAATGGCGAGAACGGCGACGCAAGCAACACCCTGACCGCCACCGAGGATGACACGAGCACCACGGCCACCAGTGCCGGAGACAGCGACGCCGATGACGTCGAGAGCGAGAGCGGACCGCGGCTCGAGCACGAGACCCTTGCCGATGCCATCGCCGTCCTCGCGAACCGCGAGGCGGTCACGAGCCTGGAGGTTGGCAGCCACTCGGCGTACTTTCGGGTTGTCGACGACTAGTGAACGAGTCAAACGACGCTAGCTACTCGGTGGTGCTGGCAGCGGTGTCATCGTAGAGCCCACCGAGGGCCTTGATGGGGATGCCACGGTTGACGCGGTCCATGTACGCATACAGCAGGTAGATGCAAGCGATGATGATGCCGAGGGTGACGGTCATGTGCACAGTGTGGGCGGTGGAGATCTTGAGTTTGACCTGCCTGTTCCCGTCTGCTGCGCCTACGGCCGCCCCACCGGATCGGTCGATGCCGACGTCCATGGCAGCCAGGAGAGCACGGAGCGGAGTGAGCACCTCGTTGAGCTGCAGAACCATGGCGCCCTCGGCGGTGGCCTCCACCCCGGAGCCGGACAGCTCGGCAGCGGCGGTACCTGCGGCAAAGAGCTCTTCCATGACGGCGACGACGTCGCGAACCAGCTCGACGCCCTGCGGACCATGGCGCGGGCGGACAAAGCCATCTGCCGCGAGCTCGCGGGTGTAGGCGCCGACAGCATCAACCACATCGCCCACCGGCGCCGTCATCACCGCCGCCACCCCAGCCGAGGGCTGGTAGGCGGCGACGGCCTTGCGGCCGGCCACCACGGCCTTGGCCAGCGGTCGCAGCACGTGGGTCACCTCCACCGTTGCCTCTACTTGGGCCTTGCTCGGTTTGCCTGCCATGGTCGGGGTGAGGAGGGGTGTTGGTTGTGTCGGAGTGGTGGTGGGGGGTGGGGGGGGAGAGGGGTGCAGGCGGCGGGGGTTCGGACCCGGCCGAGACACTGGACGCATGCAGGCACCAAGGGAGCAAAGGGGGAGAGAGG